TATGTTTGCAATATGCGAAGTAGCATGGAGATGTGGTCGGGCATAGTGTCTCGAGGATGAACATGCTCGAGGACACCGCAGATGGATTTACAACTTTATCAAAAATAGTCCTCAGGATATACTGATCGGAGGATATAATGATGTTACCAAAAGTCATACCTGTAGATTTCCCGAACTTGATGACAGATGTGGAGCACGAACGTGATCTTCCGATACCTGAAACAAAGGCAACGAGGTGTGTTCTCGTCGCCCCTCTGATGCTTAAGTCAGAAAGGGAAATATATGCGTGAGGCTATGTGCTGAAGAACAATGTAAAACGTACCTGAATAATGGTTCAAGGTTCTGTATTTATAGTAGTAAGTGACGTTCTCCTAATTGGACTCAACTAGCTGGATGTCCTCATCTGTTGGAGTTCTGAGTAGTTAAGGAGTTGGTTGAATTCCAGAATTATATGTGAGATAGGATTCTTGTGGGAGCTAAGATTCCTAATTGCGTAGGAATTCTAAAGGGTCAACCATCGTCAGTTGTGAGGGGAAGCACATTCCCGAGGACTATGCCCGAGGACATATGTTTGCAATATGCGAAGCAGCATGGAGATGTGGTCGGGCATAGTGTCTCGAGGATGAACATGCTCGAGGACACCGCAGATGGATTTACAACTTTATCAAAAATAGTCCTCGGGATATACTGATCGGGGGATATTGGAAAATGTCACCATCATAGGCCCCCGTGCATATATGCTCGAAGATATGCTCGAGGATATGATGCAAAGAGACTAGAAATAAAAGCTCGAGTTTTAGCTCGGGGATTTCTGAACACCTGTGATTGATCAGAAAGCTGACGTGTACTGACGTCAGCCCTAGAATAGGAAAAGGCGGTAAAAATTGGTAGGGTTAGATGTAGGACACGTGTCCAGATCTAACGGTCGGGGTAGTGACCTTTGGGCTTCCTGCTCCGGTTGCCTATAAATACCCTCCCCTCATTTCATTTTTCACTTTTTACTCTCAATAAACTTCTCTCGCTAATCGTCGGATCGGACTTTGAGTTTTTAGGCGTCGACTTTAAGGTAAGACCTCGAGTTTTTAAGTTATTCTTTAGGCATTTTTTACCTAGGTCAGGATGTCTAGTAGTAGCAGTAGCGACACTTCGTCCTCATCATCCTCGAGGAGTACTCCCGAGGACATAGGATGCTCAATCACACCTATGGCTGTCCCAATTAATGCCCAACCTCGGGCACAAAGTATCCAAACCCCTTTTAGGTATCCCGAGGTCCCCTGTAAATTTAAAGAACATCTAGCATTATCGACGGCTAGTGAGCATGGGCTCATGCCCAAATGCGACGTTAGGACGCCAAGGGTAGAGGATAGGATGGCCTTTGCTCGGGATGGAGAGTTCGTGATTTTTAGGGACTCACTTGAGGGGGGATTTTGATGGCCTCTACATCCCTTTTTTGTGGCCGTATTGGTTGAGCATAATATGAGCCCTGGACAGCTCGTGCCAAATGGGTGGAGGATGCTTACCTATTTCTTTATAGCATATAGATACCTAGGAATTAACCCGTACGTCGATCTCTGCAAGATGGTGTTCGACCTGAAACAGCTTCCTCAATATACTTGTTTTGCTTACCTTTCATCCCGAGGAGGATTTAGATTACCGAGGATGCCCAGTTCTTTAAAAGGTTGGAAAGAAAAGTGGTTTTATGTCGTACCTCAGGATAGCGACCTTCCTTTTAGTCCTAGGTGGGTTTTGCCCGACACTCCCCGATTTTGTGAAGGCCAGGCCTATTTCGAATCTTTAGAGAGGCATAGGGTAATGTTAGAGAACCTCGAGCCTCTTGTATATGATATAGATGACATCCTCGGGGATGACGTTCTCGATCTCGCGGATGTGAAAGGCACTGAGGGTAGGACCTTTTTGCCTTCCTCTTTACTGATCTGTCCTTGAACTTATAATTGTGCTCGTTCTAATGACTTGTTCTTTTTTGTAGAGATGACTTTTGATCCTTCAGCCCTCAGATAGGCCGTGACCAAGAAGTCAAAGGCCCCTCAAACCCGAGCTCCAGGGCAGAAGAGAGGGAAGAAGAGAGCTCGGGACACGGAGAATATCAGAAGTGGGCCTGGCGAAACTTCTGCCCGAGGACATACCCCGACCACACAGGCCACGGAGACTCCTACTGGTCCACCTCGGTCACATCCTTGGCCAAGGAGTACTCCCGAGGTTGTTGACCTCGAGGATGAGGTTCGACCTATGCCCTCTTTCCAAAACCAGGAGCCTGACTGGTGTCCTCTGGTGTCAAGCATCGTGGACAAGTATAGGAAGGACCTCGGTTTTGATGAGGGTATGAAGGCTCTGGAATCCCTTACTCTTATGGTAAGCTCACCCATTCTACTTTGTTTAAAATACAAGGTTTAAAAAGGTTTGAACGCTGTGATTAATTAGGTTCGGGTTATATGGTGTAGGCTCTGAGCATTGCCCGAGGCCTTTCTCTAAAAGGAAAAGATGAGGCCCAAAAGACCACCAAGCTCGAGGACTCCTCGCGAGCACAGGAGAAAAGGATAGCCGACTTGGAAGCTGAGCGCTTTCTTCTTCAGAAGGAGCTCGAGGACTCGAAGAGGGATATCCAGAGAGCTCGAGAAGAGGCTGGAACTGCCAAGGGCGAGGCCGAATGTTTAAAGCTCGAGATCGAGCGTTCGAAGATCGATTTTGAGAATCGCCTGGCTGAAGCTCGGGGGGCTGCGATTGAGGACTTCAAAGTGTCCGAGGAGTTTAACGGCCTTAAGGGAGAGTACGCCATGGGCTCGTACTTCCATGCCTTTAAGGAAGCTTGGGCATTTTTGAGATCGAAGCCCGACGCTAAACCCGAGGATTTAAAGAACATCCCTAAGGTTGCTGATGCCCTCGAGCTTTCAGAGTCCAAGGAAACCGTCGAGGATCGTGAGGTTGACGTTGACGGCGACGACGCAGTGGAGGAGCAGGGGAACACAGCCTCGGGAGAAAGGGCCGAGGACTTAGATTAGTTTTTGTTTTTTCCTTTCTTTTTGTAATTTGAACATGTGTTTTACTCGATCAAGCATTTTCCTTCTTACTGTGTATTGATATCTCGATCATGACAAACTCAAATAGCCCGATGTATGATGGTTAAATAACTCGACGCCTAGAATAGTTAAAACATCTCGAGGACCTAATTTGTGAATATTTCTGAACATTATAACGTACAAAAATTAATCCCGAGGACTCAAACTGTAAAATAATAATTTGGGAACATGTGTTGAACCCCGCGCATTAAACAAGTTTTACCTCGAGGACTAAATAGTAAAATTATCTTGGAACATCTAAGTGTGAACCTCGAGCACGTAGACAATTCCCTCCGACGACTAAAGAAGAGTAATTAATTCGACGACTAATTAATCATCTCGATGATTGAGAATAACTCAATTTGAAATTTTCAAACAAGTGATAATGCCGAGGACAGTGTAGGATGTAGTTTTCTAGACACGTAACACTCGAGGATTAATTTCAAGGGATGGTAGTCCCTGAGGTGTACGAATAATTGTGACCGACCTCTGTATATAAGTTTATCCCAAGCTTTCACTTTCTAGCCTCGGACAAAAATACAAGGATATATGGTCGGGATGTATGTCCTCGGTATTTATACTTGTGCTGCACTATTTTGATGTGCTGATTATGAGCTCCAAGATTTTGGTGCTTGCTCGAGGCAAGGCTTTAGACGGCTTGCTCGAGGGCAAGGCTTACACTGGCTTGTCAAGGACAAGACTTAAGGGGGCTTGCTCGAGGGCAAGGCTTACATTGGCTTGTCAAGGACAAGGCTTAAGGGGGCTTGCTGGATGCAAGGCAAACTATCGGGCTGTTATACCCGGGGTTTGGATTTATTAATTGTTTGGACTGGACTTGGATTTATATTGTATCCAAGCTGCCTACGTACCCAAATGGGATCAAGCCGAACGTAGTTCATTACAAAAGGAAGAAAACAACGCATGGGCATGCAGGCCCGCTAAACTAGAAATAAAATGCAAGGACACGCAGGCCCGAAGAACCAAAAATAACATGCAGAAAAAGAAAATCTTCTAAACGGCGTCGGGAATATTACTTGTAATATATTTTTAGATTGTCGGCATTCCAGGGCCTCGAAAGAGGTCTACCCGAAGTGTCTCTTAGGCTGTATGCTCCTTTGCGAACCTGTCGTATGACCTCAAAGGGCCCTTCCCAGATGGGCCCGAGCTTCCCTGGGGGGTGGCCTGCTGCTTCGGCCCTCCTCAAGACCAAATCGCCAGCTCTGAACCTCCGAGCCTTGACTTTGCTATTAAAATGTTTTGCTGTCCTAGTTTGGTAAGAGGCCACTTTTATAGCGGCTTGCTCCCGTATTTCTTCCAAGAGATCAAGATGTTCAGTTGTATGCTCCGAGGTTTCTGGCACGAGCCTCCTATGGCATGGCAGTCTAATTTTCACTGGGACCATTGCTTCAACGCCATAGGCTAACATAAAAGAGGTTTCTCCTATGGTTGTCCTATGAGTTGTTCTGTACAAAGTATAGAAGGCAGCTCGTCAGACCAAGAACCCCTAGCATCACTTATTGTTCGGAGGTCTTGCAATATGATTCGATTTGTTACCTCGACCAGACCATTGCTCTGAGGATGCGAAACTGATGTCAGACGGTGATCAATCCCAAGGTTTGAGCAAAAGTTTCTAAACTGTTGGTTATCAAATTGCCTGCCATTGTTGGTGATGAGGACCATTGGTATCCTAAACCTGCAAATGATAGACCTCCAAGTGAAGGCTCTTAGCTTGGGCTCCGATATTGTGGCGAGAGGTTCGGCCTCTACCCATTTTGTGAAGTACTCTACTGCTACAGCAACAAACTTTAATTGACCTCTTGCCATAGGAAAGGGGCCGAGGATGTCAACTCCCCATTGTTCAAACGGGGCTGAACAATTAATGTTGGTGAGGTCTTCGGCTGGTGAGTGGATAACATTACCAAACCTCTAGCACTTATCACAATTTTTAACATATTCTGAGGCGTCTTTTTTCATAGTTGGCCAGTAGTATCCATATCGTACGAGTTTAAAGGCCAAGGCCCTGGCTCCTTGATGATTCCCGCACACACCTTCATGAAATTCAGCAAGGGCCTGGGATGATTCTGATGGCCTAAGACACCTTAGGTACGGAAGAGTAATACTTCTGCGAAAAAGGATACCGCTGATCATGCAGTACCTAGGAGCTCGGGCTCTGATGCTTCTGGCCAACCTGGCATCGCTTGGTAGATTTCTGTTTGTGATGAATTCTATGATCGGGTCCATCCAGGATGGTTCATTGTCAATGTCCATGATGTCGAGGATTTGACTGATGCTGGGTTCTGTGATGATTTTAATGTGAACCGTTCTGTCAAGGCCGTCTATCCCCATGAACACAAGCTTGGATAGTGCGTCAGCTTTTCCGTTGTCCTTTCGAGCAATTTTTGTAATTTCACAGCTCTTGAATTTTCGTTGAAGATCCTGAACCTTCATACAGTACAAACTTATTTTCTCCTCCTTTCTTTCAAATGATTCTTCAATCTGTCCGACCACTAGCTGTGAATCGCTGAATATCTTTACGAACTCGAGCTCTAGGCAACGGGCTAGCTCAAGAGCAATAACGACGGCCTCATACTCAGCCTCGTTGTTGGTTGCTTCAAACTCGAACCTGAGAGCGCATTGGATCTCTGTTTGTTTGTCAGGGCTGATGATGATGACCCCTGCGCCCGAGCCCGAGGAGTTCGATGCTCCATCCACAAAAATTTGCCAAGTGTCCAAATTAGTGCTCATGCTCGAGCTGTCACCTGGCCCCCGAGGCCTAGGGGTTAGTTCTGCAATGAAGTCGGCTAGAGCTTGGGCTTTGATAGATGGGCGTGGTTTGAATTCTATGTCAAATTCTCCAAGCTCGATTGCCCATTTCATCAGTCTTCCTGATACGTCTGGCTTTTGAAGTATGTGCCTAAGTGGTTGATTAGTGAGCACCACAATAGGGTTAGACTGAAAGTACTGCCACAGTTTCCGTGCTGCTATAACCAAGGCAAGGGTAAGTTGTTCCGCCAAAGTATACCTTGTTTCCGCATCTAGTAGGACCTTGCTTACATAGTAGATCGGTTGTTGGACTTTGTTAACCTCTTTTACCAAGACCCCGCTGACCGCATTTTGAGATACAGCCAGGTACAAAAATAAGGTGTCACCTGGCTCAGGCTTAGTTAGAATTGGAGGAGATGCTAATGTCTGTTTGAGCTCCTGAAGAGCTTTCTCACAGTCTTCACTCCAATCAAAGCCTTGGTTTCCTCTGAGGACTTTGAAGAAGGGATAGCACCTGTCTGATGCTCGGGACATGAACCTGTTCAAGGCTGCTATCCTACCAGTCAACCTCTGTACCTCTTTCTTGTTCCTTGGTGATTCCATAGATGCTAATGCTTGTATTTTGTCAGGGTTGGCCTCTATCCCCCGATGAGTGATCATGAAGCCCAAGAACTTGCCCGAGGCCACGCCAAATGCACATTTTGCGGGGTTCAACTTCATTCCGTACTTTCGCAAGGTGTTGAACACTTCTTCAAGATCTGAAATATGTTGGTCCACCGTTTGCTCTTGACCACCATGTCATCAACGTATGCCTCTACGTTCCTTACAATCAAGTTAGCAAAGACTTTGTTGATGAGCCTTTGGTATGTTGCCCCTGCATTCTTCAAACCGAAAAGCATGACCTTATAACAGTATATGGCAGAATCGGCCATGAATGAGGTCTTCTCTTGATCTTCCTCGGCCATGAGGATTTGATGGTAACCAGAAAATGCATCCAAGAAGCTGTATAGCTTATGTCCAGACGTGCTATCCACCAAGTTGTCAATCTGCGGTAGGGGATAACTATCCTTTGGACATGCTTTATTAAGATCTGTGAAGTCAATGCAGACTCTCCACTTACCATTGGCCTTCTTCACTAAAACAACATTGGCAAGCCAATCAGGATATTGGACCTCCCGAATGAACCGAGCACTGACGAGTTTGTTAATTTCTTCGCGGATGACTTCCCGACGTTCTGGGGCAAACTGTCTTTTCCTCTGTTTTATTGGCCTGGCCCCTGGGCTAATGTTAAGCCTGTGGACTGCAATTTTAGGGTCTATCCCTGACATATCCTCAACTTTCCAGGCAAAAAGGTCAATGTTGCGAGATAAGCAACCAACAAGTTCTGTCTTCAGGGTGACGTCAAGATCCCGACCAATTGTCACCTTCTTATCGTGCTCGAGCTCAATTTCCATCAATTCTTCGACAGGAGCAAGTCTGACTTGTAGCCCATCCTCGGGATTCATCCTCTAGATTTGCATGACGTCGCTATTTATTTCCCGAACGCTGGCAACATAGCATTGTCTGGCAGCTGTCTGGTCTCCACGGACAACCCCAACGCCATTACTTGTTGGAAACTTCATGGCTAGGTGGAAGGTGAACACAATGACTTTAATCTTGTTCAGGAGTGGTCTTCCCAGAATCGTGTTATAGGCCATTGGGACACGTACCACTTGAAAAGATGTCATCTCTGTAACCTGTTTCTAGCCAGAACCCAAAGTTAGTGGAAGCTCGACGACACCCTCTGGAGTGATGACTCTTCCACCAAACCCCTGGAGAGGAGTTTTAACCGCTTTGAGCTGGTGAGACGAGATTTCCATTTTAGCAAAAGCTTCTTGTGAAAGTATATTGGCCGCACTCCCGTTATCAACCAAGATCCTCTTTACTTCGAAATTGGCCAAAATTGCTGAGATTACCAAGGCGTCATCATGTGGGAGTGATACGCATTCTAAGTCTCCGGTCCCAAAAGTAATATCCTCCAGCTTTCCATGGGGCATTCCAAATGCCAAGGCATATCGTCGGGCATATTGTTTTCTTCCACTGTTGGAGTTTCCTCCCGAGGCAATACCTCCAATGATGATATTGATGGTTCCAGCAGTGGGTTGACCATCCCTTTTTCCCTCAGGGTCTTTTTCCCTGCCACGATCATTCCTCGGACGCTTGTCGTTACCGACGTAGGAACTCAAGAGTCCTCTTTTAATAAGGGCTTCAATCTCCCGTTGCAGGGCCTTACAGTTCTCCGTGGTATGCCCATGATCCCGATGGAACTCACAGTACTTGTTCATGTCCCTGGATTCGGGTGGTGACCTCATTCTGACAGGCCATTTCAGTTCCTTCATATCCTTGATCTCCATCAATAAATTGGTCTTTGACGTGTTTAAACGCGTGAACGGTGTCGGGGGAACCTCCTGCCTCTGTTTTTTCCGATGTTGTTCTTCACGGGGGTTCGGGTCATGCTGTCTTTTATGCTCGACCCTGTCATGGGGTGGTCCAACCTTTCTCGGGTTCAGTGTTTCCTCCATATTTATGTACTTCTCGACTCGGGTAAGAAGCTCGGTGACTGTCTTCGGCGGAGTTTTGGATAAAGACATCTTGAAAGCCTCGCACTTTATGGCATATGTGAGGGCAGAAACTGTTGCAGTTATGTGTAGGTCGGGAATCTGAAGTCTTTCCTTGTTTAACCTGGTCACGAAGTCACGTAGGGTCTCATTTTGCCCTTGTCTAAGTTGCGTGAGGGAAGCTGCTGTCTTCCTGATGCGTTTGCTGCTTGCGAAGAAAGCGGAGAACTTGTCTGCCAAATCCGAGAATGAGGCTATGGAGTTGGACTCTAAGGTTGAGAACCAATCCCTAGCAGCATTCGTCAAAGTTTGCAGGAAGGCCTTGCACATCACTTGATCTGGTGCAACCTGCAGATTCATGACGTCCGTGTATATGTTCAGATGATTGATTGGATCGGTGGTCCCATCATATTCTTTGATCCTAGGATACTTAAATCTGTCTGGCAAGGGGAATGTTAATATCTCGGGAGTAAATGGAGTGTTGGGACTGAATCTTGTCGTCCCTTTATTGCCCTGAAGTAGGCCCGCCGCAATTCCTTCTTGAATAATCCTAGCGAGTGCCCCGGACTCCATGGTCACTGATCTCGAGGCCGAGGTCAATGTGGTATACCCGAGGCCCCTGCTCCACCATTGTCAAGGACATGTGCTCGAGCTCGAGCATCAGCCATAAAACCCCCCTGGGGTGCCGGTGTGGGTGACGGATGCGAATTTCTTTGACTTAGCAGCTGAGTCAGTGCGGCGACCTGTTGTCCGAGCTCTTTAAAGGCTCCAGTAGTGACGACTGCCGGCTGGGGCTCCGGCACTTCTGATGATTCCTCTTGAGGAACAGGGATATCCTCAGGAGGGGGTTGGTTTGGAGTGGATGAGCTTGCGGGTGGAATATCTGATCGTGTGTTTACCATGGCTTTTGGTAGCGCTTCCCACAGACGGCGCCAATGATGCTACCAAAAGTCGTACCTGTAGATTTCCCGAGCTTGATGACAGATGTGGAGCACGAACGTGATCTTCCGATACCTGAAATAAAGGCAACGAGGTGTGTTCTCGTCGCCCCTCCGATGCTTAAGTCAGAAAGGGAAATATATGCGTGAGGCTATGTGCTGAAGAACAATGTAAAACGTACCTGAATAATGGTTCAAGGTTCTGTATTTATAGTAGTAAGTGACGTTCTCCTAATTGGACTCAACTAGCTGGATGTCCTCATCTGTTGGAGTTCTGAGTAGTTAAGGAGTTGGTTGAATTCCAGAATTATATGTGAGATAGGATTCTTGTGGGAGCTAAGATTCCTAATTGCGTAGGAATTCTAAAGGGTCAACCATCGTCAGTTGTGAGGGGGAGCACATTCCCGAGGACTATGCCCGTGGACATATGTTTGCAATATGCGAAGCAGCATGGAGATGTGGTTGGGCATAGTGTCTCGAGGATGAACATGCTCGAGGACACCGCAGATGGATTTACAACTTTATCAAAAATAGTCCTCGGGATATACTGATCGGGGGATATTGGAAAATGTCACCATCAACATTTATCCATTAAATCTTCGTTTTCATAAGGTTTTATTTTTCAAATTTTACAAAATGGGGCTTCTATTCTAATTTCCATAGCTTGTTGAGGATATAAACTATGACATGCCACATGTTGTGCCAAACAAATCCGATGTTTGAGGGTCATATCACTAGTTTTCAGAAATTTGAAAAATAAATAAAGTAGAGCACAACCTATGGCATCGTCAAACTTGTAGACACATGTCTTTGTGTCCGAGGCATGACGTTGTCCAATACATATTGTATATGATACCCGACTCTGAAAAAAAAATGTATCAGTGAAAAAGATGAATTGTTTTTAAAACTGCCCAATAATAGAATGCCAAGTGGCATGTTATCAACAATGTTGTCAAAATTATTTAAAGCTGGACAAAACTCCTGAACCGAATGATTCTTCTTAAGTTAAATATCAGAACGGGTATTTGAATCAAGAACCGATGAGTTAGTTCGGTTCTAGATCAAGAATCGAATAAGAACCAAATTTTCCTAATTTTTTAATTAATTTATTTTTAAATAAGCCAAATTATTTTCTAAAATAAATTTTTTAACTAGTTAATTTAGTTCAAACCCAAAAATATGTTTTTCCTATTTTTAATTTTCAGTTCAAAGCCAACGTAATCAAATTGACCTAAATTAATCTGTTATTCTACCGTAGTGTCGCTTCTACTGTTCTGAAGAAATCGAATTGAATCTGAGAAACGCTCTATTAATTATTTTGAGCTCGCTATCTTTCTCTTCTTATGTTTTTAATGATAAAATCTATGGAAAACTCAGTAAAGAAAGATGTAAAAGATACATAAGATTGGACTACGTTATTTTGTAAGAATTAGATTAAACATATCATTAGTTGAATTAATGTAACTTTGTAAATATTAAAAAAAATTAATTATAATATGGAACCTGGGAACCGAATGGAACCAAACCTGAATGGTTCCATAATTAAATTTGGACACGACGATTTTACTTATAAATATTCAAAAATTTCGATCCAACTCGATTCTTGTTACCGTATGATTTCTTAAGATGATAATACTTTCATCTTGAAAATATTTCTGGGCTCGGCTTGGGCCCAAGCTTAACTAGGACCTCAGAAAAAATTTGTTAGAGTGTGATTGCCTAACCCAAAAAGTTAGTGGGCGACATACGTTGTGAAGGGTTTGTGGTGGTAGAGGAGGCATTGGGCCGAGAGGGTATAGACTTGTTATATATATATATGCGCACATACACGCACTAGGGTTTCATTACAATATATTATTTGGAGTAGCCGCAGCTCTTGTTTTCTTATTCTTCATTTTATATTGCCGATTGTCATTTTTCCATAACGGAAAAATGCACCTAATTACTCAAAATATCTCGTTTACCTAGGGTTAGAAGAGATGGATTGATTTATTGAATTAAAATCACCAATTTGGTCAAAAGAGACGCCGCCGCTAGATTTTAGGTTTTCGATCCTCAAAATAAATAGTAATCTATAGAATTGCAACCAAAGTTAAGTATAGTGCCAGTGTTCATAGAAGTAGAAGAAAATGCAAGTAATCGGTCCCTTAATTCCCTTCCAACGATCTACCATTAATTGAGAATATGAAGGCAAATTTTGATCCGACTTTCTATGAATACTTGCTAAGAATTGGATATGGAATAGAGCAACAACATAACTATAAGTGTATTAAGTTTACGAATGACATTATTATACCATATGAGGATAAAATTACATCTTTGAAAATTTTAATCCATCATGTCTTTCCAAATATAGAAACATATTTTGACAATTTACATGCAATGGCAAATAGAGTTATTCTTACGCCCATATATGAATGTGCTAAGCATGTTAATAAAATTTTCTTAGAACAAATTCCCGATAAAATTTATATCTACTATAGTTTTGATGAAGTGATTGAGAAATCTTAACAACGCCTTCAAGAGGATGTTTTAAATAGTTTGATCTCAAAATGGTACTCCATTGCATGAACCGAAACTTAAAGTGAACTATCCTATAATATTGTTGCGTAATATCAATACATCCAAGGGGTTATGCAATGGAACATGTCTTACTTGTTAAAATTTGAGAAAAATGTAGTGCTTGCTAAAATTACAATAGGTGAATAGTATGGAAAACATGTTTTTTCTTTTCTTTTCTTTTTTTAACCAAGAATTCCTTTCATAACTCTACGAAGTAATCAAACCTCAATTCCATTTAGAAGAACTCAATTTCCTATTAGGTAATCTTTTACAATGACAATATACAAAGCTTAAGGACAAACACTAGATTTTGTTAGTTTATATCTTCCAAAACCAGTCTTTTGTCATAGTCAACTTTACGTAGCATTGTCCAGAGCTAAAACAATGAAGTCTTGAAAAGTTTTACTTAGCCTAGTAGCCACTTAAGATGCACACTTCACATGTACTAGATTTTTTGTTTGTAAGGAAATTTTTTATTCAAACATCCATAGAATTATACCATTACATAAATAGTTTCTCCTATTCGGCAGATTTTACTTCACTTTTTCTAAAATGCAATTCAATGTCGTCAAATTGAATTATCAGAGCATTTCCAAGAGACTCAACTTTTAAATAGCATATTTAGCAATTTAGAGTGCAAAAATTTTCAAGTAATCTAACAAGCTCTTTATTTCCTAACACTTAATTTTACTACTATTACGAAATATTAATTGTTTCTTTTATCTTTTATTTTTACTAACTTCCTTCTAAATTATTAAATTATTTTACTACATTGAAACCTAAGATATTTTGAATGCATTAAATTATAGAGAGGTGGTTTGGTTCTCCAGATTTGGAGAGCCAAATCTACTCTCTATTTTAAATGTTAATTTAAAGAGTTTCTTAGAATATAATTTTATGGAATAACTCTTTAAAATAGAGAGGATACTATGCTTAAAGAGTCTTTTGAAGATGCTCTCATACTATAAAAACTTACCTACAACAATTTGATAAACATATCTCATAGCAAATACGGTTTGTTCTCTTTTCCTGTGTTTTCTGTTTTATCTTCCCTCAGTTTTATTGTTATTATTCTTATTGGGGAAATACACCAATTATGTGCACATTATATTCACAAAAATATACCGTTTATGTACACGAAATCGAAACAAGGTTTTGACTTACTGAAATGGAGTTTGAAAAACTAACCAATGATTATTGAATTTGACCATTTTCATTCTTGAATTAAAACATATGATTCTTCATATCGAACCCTTCCATAAACCATATAAATAAAATTAATCATTTTCTGAAATCAAGTAAAAATGAAATCAGAAAAAATTAGATGTAAGCGATGCGACTGGCCGAGGCAAGTATAACTCTTTCCTTAAGATGAATTTGCCCCGTATCAATGCTAACGGTTTTTCGAGAATCATCTCCCAAGATACAACGACCACGTCAAGCCATAGGAGCACTCCAAATGGCTTCGACCAACGAACTCGAATAGAATTCCCTCTCTACCATAACAATGATTTTGATGCAAAAGATAATCACTTCTACAAAGTGTTTTATGTAACTTGACATGAAATGAATAATATGGAATTATGGAATGAATTGGAATGACAAATACACATCCAAGGGGTCCTATATATAGAAGATGAAGGGTTGTGGGTGAAGGGACACACCCCAAATCCAACATTTTTCATGGAAAGTTGCAACACTTCATTTCAAACCTGCATCCTTTAGAAAGTTACAACACTTCATTCTTCCAACTTTGGACCACAATTTCTCATTCATCAAGAATTGATTTCGAGATTTCAAATATACCACGATGATGTACTCGACGAGTAGAATAAATTGGTCTATTTACTTTTGTAATTTGACTATCGGATCAAGTTCGAACATTCGATCGAATTTGACACGAAGTCACACCTTTTTATTTTCCCAGTTTTAAATTTAACCAATTTTCGGTTAATTTTTGAACCAATTCCAACAATCTCTCATATGAATGGAAATTTGAGTATGCAAATGTAATGCTGTGATGTGATGCAAGTAGAGAAAGAGAGCGAAAAGCCACTGCATCGAGGATAGTAG